TCCCTCTTTTCTCGCTTGCAAACTGCCTTCCTTGCTCTCTCGCTCCTGCCTCCCCTTCCCTTTCTCCCTCCTCCCTTCCCTCGCCTCTCCTTCCTTCCCCTCTCCCGTCCTTCTGGGTAACTCCGGGAGGCGAGGAGGGAGGCTGCCTGCCCGCTCGCCCCGCTGGCTGCCTTCCACCCGTCTCGGTCCTTTAGATCCCCTGCCTTCCAGCCGAGCCGAGATTTGGAAGGAAAAAATGCAAGCGAACTCATCGGGTGGTTTTTTTTTTGGGTTTTTTTTTTTTTTCATTTTGGTCATAAACCTAGATGAAGTATCGTGTCTACTGTTTCCTTTGAGAACCGTGATTTTCCTAACGAGAGACGAGTGTTTTGGTGTCCCCTTCCCCTGTGTTTTGGGGTTTAGCCTTGCATGGGAGGGGGGCGGGGATGTTGAATACTCTTAAAATTATTCTTTCTCGCTTGTAGTCGAGGGAGTCGGGAACCCCCGCGCGCTCCATCTGCCCATCCTGAGGAGAGAGCTGATGGCGGGACAGGGATTTGGGGGGTGGGTAGGAAAGGGGTGCGCGTTTGCACCTGCGGCGCTTTTCAGTATGCGGGGACTCTGGGAACCTTGATAGGACAGGAGAGCGAGAAGGTGGCGGGATTTCTGGCGGCCGCGGTGTTTGTATTATGGGCTCTGCGTGACTCTGTGCTGGCTCTCAATGGTTGTGCCCTCCCTTTTCTAAATTTTATTTCATTTTTCCCTTGGTGCAAGCTCTGTAAAAAGGCAACTGTGGGCCTGAGTGTAGTGGACGCTAGGCTTCAGATTCCCAAGGTCCTTACACGGGGCGAGGGAAAAGACAGACAGAGCCCCAGCCCTCGTTCCTTGCGTGCAAGACCCAGGAGGGGAGAAGGGCACTTTGTGGCTCTGGCTGGGGGATCCAGCACACGAGGAGCGGGCGCGAAAGGGAGATCTTTGTGAGTGATTTTGCAAAAATAGATTGCGAGGTTGGTTGGATTTGCAACCTGTGGCTCTCCTCGAGGGAGCAGGAATGGGGGATGGCGGCGGCGGCGGCGGCGGCCCGGGGCGGGAGAGGGCAGGGAGTTGAAGCCTAGATAATCTGCTGCGCTAGGGGCAGCAGGAGCGAGGGGCCACCCCCCTGCCGAATGTAGTGACTTGTCTTGAGAACTGGGAGCTGCGTTGTCTTTATGATCCTGTGTTATTGGAACCCTGGCGAAAAATGGAACTAGTATGGCAATAGTGAGTTTTAAAACTACCCCATGGAAAACAAAAACACAACCTAGAAGATTTTTTAAAAGAGTGGGGGAAAAAAAAAAAAGGACCCTCTGTGTTATTGTCCCCTCCCGCAAAGCCTAAAACTTGGTGGTGGAGACGGTGGAGGTCCTGGCAGTGGAGCAGGAGGAATGACCCAGACGGTACCAGAGAGCCAATCATTCCTCCTAGAAAAGTGATTTAATCTTTTATAGATTGTTTCAATCACTTTATAGTTTCCAGGGGGAAAATCTTGTCAAGTGTTACATTTTTTTTTAAGTAAAGCGAGTGTCAGTAGATGCATTTTTTTTATTGTCCAGAAAAAATAAAGTGGGACAGGAGAGAGGGCACGAGGGAAAGGACTGTTTTAGAAATACAGTTTGTGGCTCTGAGCGATGCCACTGGCTTCCTCTACAGAGACTGCCGGTTTCCTTTTTTTTTTTTTTTTTTTTTTAAAGAAAGGTGTGTGTGTGTGGTTTTAATAAATAACTTTTAAAAAATGAGAGAAGGGCGGGCAAGATCCATCAGGAGGCAGGTATCTATTTTGCTCACTATTTACTACCAAGAGCTTTTGGCACTGGAACAGAACCTCGTAAATCTGCAGCCCAAGTTGAAGTTCATCTGGCCCTAGTCCACACGCTATTCCTGGAGGTAGCAAACATGAGCTCCAAGGAGAGAGGTGAAATCACATTCTTGCTTTAAAGTACATGCTTTTTTAAAAGAGAAGATATTGGTTGGGGGAGAGAGGAAATGGAGAGAAAGCACCAGGAGATGAATATTCTCATGCTAAAATGAGTTCAGTTGAGCCTTCAGGCCAAAATAGAAACCTGTAGATGGGAAATACCCTCTCCCCCAAGTTTATATAAATAGAAGTTTCCAGTATCCTATTTGACAGAATTTCTAATATTGTAGGCTCAAGCACTGACTGATTTTAAGGGTCTGTTGATAGTGACAGTTACAATACATGCTCATTAAAAGGTCGATGACTTGAAGGAAGAGAAGCCTGGAAAAGCAAGAATTCTCCAATTGTTCTTTTCCTCTCCTGCTCAGTTTTGAAGGGTTTTTACCTCAGTGCTTTCTTGAAAAGACTTTCTAATTTATTCTGGTTTGGTGGACAGGGATTGAACTCCTAAATTCTTGAGCTGTCGTTTACTGAGCCCTTGAAGAGTTCCAGTTATGGGTTGAGTAAATGGTAGCCATGACTAGATGTCAAAATCCTTCCTTCCCTCTATCCATCTCCGGATAGCCACACTCAGAACCCACTTTGTGGTGAAAAACTTGAGTTTAAGATGAGGTAGTGCGGCAGCGCCACCCCTCGGTAGGTGAAACTATTGACAAGAGTCAAATATTTTAAAAATAATTGTGAAATAACCTTAATGAGGCATTTTTTTCCCCCGAGGAGATTAAAATATTTAGGGAGATAAAAACTTTTAAAAGAAGAACATTGCAGTTGATAGCTCAAAAGGAGAAGAAAATCACTGCTTTCCAACTAGCATAGTGTCATAATAGGCCACGTAGTTCCAATAATTTAGGGGAAAGGGGCATGGAGGCAGGAGGTGTCTGATTAGCCTTAAGAAGGTGAGGTCTCCGGGTAGAGGTTGCTCTCCTTTGCCTTTGGACTAGACTTCTTAGGACACCTGAATTCTGCCGCCTGTCTGAAGGAAGGTTGTTTTGGTGTAAAAAACCGTAGTGATTGAAAGTGTTGTAGTTTCGCTGGCGGCGGTGGTTGTGGAGGGGGGAGGTCTGCGGGTGGCATGGGGCAATGGTAGATGAATCTGCACCGCTCTGCGAGTCAAAGTAGCACCGCGCGTGCCGGTTTCCTGCACTGCGCAACAAGTGGGAATGCCGCCGCACGCTGAGCGAGGGCGATGTGCACTGGCAGAGCTGGCCTGCTTCTCTTCGCTCCAAAGGGAGCCAGGAACCGCTCCTCCCAACTCTTCCGCCTCCCAGTCCTCCCCTCCAAAAGACCGTTTTCGCCCCCCACTTCCCAACTTTGCCTGGCGCAGTGAGTCTGGATGGGACCTGGCCTTGGCCCCCAGATCCCTTATCCTCCTTGCGGACTATGAGTTTATTCCCGACTTTCTTTGCTGGCCACAGTTTTTTGTGTGTGTGTTTTCTCTTTTCTTTTCTTTTCAAGAATCTTTGCTAATACCGTCGAGTGTCTTTTTTGAAGACAAATGCACCCTTTCTTTGCCTTCCCAATATATTTAGCTTTGCGGAAATGGGCTGGAGGGAGAAGTCAGATCAACGTATAACACAAGAAAGCGGCTCCAGAAACCGCGTGGTGATTGCTAGAGGCGTGAGCATAGGGAAGAACGGAATTATGTATCCATTAAATTAAATGTTTTCTAGCTTTGTTTTTGGAAGCAACTTCACCCCCACCCCCGAGAGACAGAAAAAAGGGGGGGGGGGGCGGTGAGGTGGACCCGGTGTGGAAGGCTGTGGTTGTCTCGGACGGGCTGAGTCCGCCACCTAGCGGTGGGTCGTGATCGAGGCTCGCCCCCACCTTGGGTGGTGGGCACACCCTTTCACCCTTGGGTCTCTCAGTGTCCTGACTCGGTGCTAGGGGTGACAAGGAGAGCATCCTCCAATGCGGTCGGGATCCTACTTCCAAAGTTTTGACTAGACGGACGAAAATTAGGCCCCAGAATGCTTGTCCCGGCCTCAGTTGCTTAGCGTTAGTGTCATAGCTCAAGTAAGAGAAAAGATAACACTCACTGAGGACTTTATCTAAGGCCCCACCAGGGAGAAGGTCGGTAGTGGAAGGATGCCATTCAAAAGCTCCAGGGCTTTAGGATTCTTAAACTCCTCTTTGCGTTTGAGGAACTAGACCTGACTAGTGACCAGATTATAAGCTTCTGAATTCCAGGACAGTGACTTAAAGTAAAAGGCGAGTTTATCCCAGATCCTTTAAAGTATCTAAAAGGAAGGAACCCTTATGTTAATCTCTTGAATCACTGTAGTAGCCAGAGCACACTGGAAACGGCGCCCCAGCAGTCTTGGAGGAATTTGTGTAGAAAGTGTGGCCTAAGATTTTCGGTAACGGGTACAAAACGTCTGCAGTGATGCTGAGGAATGGGGTGTCTCAGGGGTATGCGTGTGCTGGGGAGGGAATTTCTAAGGCCTACTAAGTATGCAGGGTTGCAGAGGTGCACAGCACTCCTCTAGAGGCTCCCATTTGGACATTGAAATCACTCTCTTCCTGTTTCTTCTCTCCTTATCTTAGTGGCCTGGCGAGAAATCAGTTGTATGCATGGGTGTATAGGTGTGGTGGAAGGTCACATGGATAGGTAGAGTAGAATCCTCCCAGAATTTTTTTTTTGCCACAACATCGCAGTAAAGTTTTCTGTCTCAGAGCTCTTGATTTAAGATGGTAAGCGCGCACCGGCGTGCTGGCGGCCTCTAGCGGCAGCCAGCACGCTCACAAGCCCGAGTCGGAGCTGTCATCCCCGCCCAAGTCCACCGGAATCGAGTTCAGCCTCTCCCACTGCGGGAGCTGTCACAGGCCGAGTCGGAGAAACGCGCCTCTGTTCGGGTTGGAAAAGAATCTGGGGACGTGTTTGAAGCGCGGTCAAGTTTGACTCATCGCTTTCCAAGGACAGTTAGTGCCTTCCATCTTCATTAACGTGAATAAAGACCTTGGCTGACTTCTGTCCAGATCGAATTTTAAAAGGCATTGTTAGCTTGGGGAGATCATGCCTCTGTCCCTCCCGCTGCCCCACCACCTTTTTTTTTTTTTTTTTGCAAAGGCGGAGCCCAGTTCAGCCAGGATGGCCGAGAGATCTCTGCCGGGGACTTGGTTTGCTGGCATTGTCTGCTGACCTTCTGGAAAGCTGTCTTAAGCCAGGCGCATGGGCAGCATCCCTTCTGCTTCTCCTCTTCAGATCTTGATGATAAAACACATCCCTTAATTTTATTGCATTTCCTAGAAGCTTGCAGGCTTGCAAGTGCACTGAGGCAAGAAACGTGATAGAAATGAAAGTCAGGACATAATGTCCCCGAATACCCAAAGTGGCTTGTGGAGGCCATCGGGCTATCAAACTCGCTTTTATTTACTGTCACCACCCCACTCACCCGTCCCCCAGTCAAGAACACGAAGCTTTCCCCCTTACCCCCAGAACAAAAACAACACAGCGGTTAGACTGCCGCCTACCGCCAGACCTCGATGACTAGACCGGAGCAGCTTGTTAGCTGAGATGCTGCTGGGAAAGAGCGCTCCTGCAGGAGCCCTGGTGCGTGTTTCACTGCGACAATTCCAACTTTATTAAAATTCCTTGTCTCTGTCCCCAAACAGTGTTTTGCACTTTGAAATTCCTCTTTGGATTTTTCAGCGAGCTATTGGAGTTATTAGATTACCAATAATCCAACAGCCAGCCTGGATAGAGAAGGGGCAGGGGCGGGGTTAGGGAGAGGCATTTTCCAAATCAAGAAACTGGTCAAACTAGGTCAATGGGAAGGAGGGGCGGGGTGAGAAAGGGATTGTCGTTTCAAGTCTTGATGCAGGGCTCTCTCTAGTGTTAGGCAGCGGTAAGGACACGATTAGATTTGAGCTACCAGAACCACGGGACTCCTAATTTTTAATAAATGCAGGTTTTAACTTTCCGGATATTCACCCCATCCCATGTCAAATTCCAGCCTTCTCTTTTTTTCTCGCCTTTAGCCCGCAGGCGAAGGGAAAAGACAGCCACAAAATAGTATCTTGAGGCCAGAGAGGCCCTAAGTATTTGAGGGCCTACCCTGACTCCGCCTCCGCGGCAAAAGAGATGCGGGGCGCAGTGTGACGCCACCCGCTAGTTTTAGGACCGGACTGAGGCCTCTGAGCCTGAGTCTTTCGTACCCCCAAACCCTGTTACCGAAAGCATCTCCCGGAACCCCCTATCGAGACCAATTAGGAGGTGGCGCCCAGGGGTTTTTAATTCCTGGGAAGGCAAGGTACCTTTGGAGTGCGCCGGCTCGCGCGTTGGGGTCGGCGCCCCGGCCTCTACCAAGTTGGAACCGTATCTCTGAGGTTTTAGGAAAACAGGGTTCAGAAATTCCGAAACCTGGCCGGTTCAGCGTGGTAGCGCCTATTCTAAAAGACTTTGGGCGGAAACCGAGACGAGCTGGGTTCTCTTTCTTGCCAACGTAGGCGGAAGGAGTTTTTGGTTTAGTTTTCCTCCAACTCGGCTGGGTCGCTCAGGATGGAGACCCTTAACCCTAGGGACTCCATTTATTTTTAACCTTAACGTCTTGCCTAAGTAATCCCTTAAAAAGCTGGGGGAAGGGAGCAGGCAAAGGGGGAAAACCCAAAAAGCATACGACGCACCAGGCAAACAAAAGCCAGAGTTGGGCAACCTGAAATCATGAAATGAACCTCGTAGCCAAACTCCTGAGTTGAATACTGGCCTCTGCTACTAACTTATCTTTCTTTCCCCATTTATAAATTGTTGTGGGGAGGGGTGGGACGGCAAGCGCAGGGTCCTGGTACCCCTGCGGACAAGGGATTTAAGGGAAAACTTGCCCTGTTCCCTGCGAGACCCCCTACTCCCACCCCTCCCTGTCCCCGGGTGAATCCCCAGCGGCCGGCGCCGCGCAGGCAGCGATCCTGGCGGCCGTCGGGGGCCGGCAGCTTCCTGGAAAGTTACTTCTCGTTGGAGCCGGCAATGGGCAGAGTGTTCTGTGAAATCCGCAGAGCTGAGATCGACTTCATTCCGGGAATGAGAGGGTTGTGCCATTCCCCTCAGTACCCCCTGCCTTGACGGCTTAACAGGAAAAAAAAAAAAAAGGCATACACACAATGTTAGCTACTGAGGTCCAAGAAAACTTTTATTTGAATGTCACTAAATTAAGAGCCGCCACGGTCCTACCACCCGGCCTCCGCCACGCCTTCGGGGGCTTCAGAGGCGAATGGGCAGCGGTGCCAACGTTGCCAGCTGATCGCCCGGGGGTGGGCGGTCCGTGGAAGACAGGTACGGTGAGGTGGGAGTGGGCGAGTCTGCGCAGGCTTGCCCGGGCGCGCTGGGCTCTGTTTGTGCCGGGTGTGTGACTGAGCGAATGATGCTGCCTGGGGCCAGCCCAGTGGAGGAGGGAGGAAGATGGGGTCTTTCGTATTGGCTCGCTTGCTCGCTCTTAACCTAGCCTCTCAAAGCTCTTCGCCCTCTCTTGTCTCTCTCCCTCTGTTTTTGCTGTTTTCTTTTTTTGCTTCCCCCTCCCCCCCTACCTCCCATCATTTAGCGTATACACATTCTCGAGGTGCCTCGTTGAATATATGCAAGGAAAGAGCAAAGGGTGTGGGGGCGGATTAGACAACATTTAACTCTTCCTTGGTGGTTACTGCAGCCAGGACCAGGTGGGTGGGGTGTTTGGGTGGGAGATTCAGGACCCCTGCAGTTGTTTCTCCTTGATGGCCGCTCTCTTGGCTGTTGTTTGCTCTTGTGTCAGTGTCTATGACTGGACATGGTAGAAGTTTGTTCAGGACGTTGTTAGTGATTGGCTTTGAGATCTTGGATAAGTCTTTCCCAGAGACTTAATTTCCTTTGCAGTCAATCAGATAAGATACAATAATAGGTGAGAAAGGACTGAATGGTTTGCCAAAAAAAAAAAAAAAAGTATGACGTCACCACATCTCACATGCAGAGGGAGGACAGCATTGCCCACCCCACCGCCACCCCGGAGAAGTTATGGGGTGGCTAAGACAGAGTTAGCTTACGGAGAAGTGAAGTTCATAGGGACATAGGCCTGCAGGTGTTTGCATTCGCTTTTGTGCAGGGCAGGCAGAGGCTGAAGGCAAAAAGCCCAAGGCCAGGCTGGGCTGAAAGTGGACACAGGGGAGCTGCTTTGTTTGTTTGCTTCAATCCGCATCTGGAGTGAGTCATTGCCACTTGTCATGGTGAAATGGCAAATCTGGGCTCTCTGTGGTTCCAAAAGTCTGTGACTGGAAATCCACAAGTGAGCTGGTGGTTGGAGCTGGTTAAAGGACAGCCTGGGTATTCTAGAAGTGTTTGAGGATCTCTTCCCTGAGGGAAGAGGAGAAAGCTTATAAATAAACATCATGTTGTTTCCAGCATTCTTTTTCAGAGGAAACAGTCATTGAACTCTGGTTAGGACCAAGTTATCCATCCTGAGATGGGATGAGGAGAGGAGGAGATAGGTTCTTTTGTCTTCTCTCCTGATCCCCATTTCCTTCAGTCCCCACTCACTCCCATACACACACTAACCTTGAAGCTGATGAGATTGAGTGACTGGCATTTGGGACCACAGAGAAATGTCAGTGTTTGGTTACAGATTCAAGGAAACCTCTCATTTTAGAGTGCTCATTTGGTAAGATTCAGCAGCCTGGAATGGGACAAAGTTTGTGTGGGGGAAGGAACTTAAAACTGAGATTCACCCACCTCAGGGTGCTGTCTTGCATGTTCCATAGCACGTAGGCTGATTTGGAAAGGGGACAGGAATTTCAGCCAGAAGACCTGGGGCCAGGCCATCAGCCATCTACGTGGCCCGACATGACCTCACTGGCCTCAGGCCCCTTTACTCAGAAAATAGCTCTAAAGGGCTAGCTCTTTCAAACAGGGGAAGAGCGTTCCAATATTGTTTTGTTTTCAGCCCACATTCGCTCATAAATGAGAGTCTTACACCTATGCTTTTAATGATTTTGTTTTACAGAAACCAATTTGGACAGAATACATATTTCATTAAATCTCTTTAAGGTTTAGTGATCCCTGGCCAGTTCTTAGCTAAACCACAGAGTTAAATTTTTCACCATCAGAAAGAAGCACAAACTTGGAAGCCATAGCAGTCTGTCTGGTCTTAGACCCTGGAGGAGGAGGAAGAGAGAGGAAAGGGAGAAGAAAGTTTGAAAGGAGGGTAATGATACACAGGAATGCATAGACACGCTGCTTCAAGTTGTATTCTGTAGATTCCATTTTCTCTGTGCCAGAGAATCCGGAAATCCTGCCTGACTGTTTGTCCTAGTCACTTGAACCCTTGAGTCTCAGTTTTGTTACCAGTGCAATAAGGATAAAGCTATTGACCCTATCAGCCTTGTAGAATCGTTCTAAGACTTGAAAGATAATTTTTTTAGCAAGTTTTGAGTAGCGTCCAGTGTTTTTAGTTCCCTGAGGGATCATTGTCATTAATATTGAAAGAACTACTTTTTTTTTTCCCCTTAAACTCAAGTGGCCTTTGGCTATATAAGTTTTTTCCTTTGAGAAAGGAATATATGTGTTCATGTTTATGTAATTAATGTATATAGTTGGATTCTCGGTACTCAGGGTCCAGGCATTATTATTGCAGTTTTGGGTGCCTGTTGTTTTTGTAAGAGCAGTACTGGAATATGTTTGCTAGCTTGTGGTACAACCGCACCAGTTGGCAGGGTGCAGCTATCAAAGCAAAACTAACTACGTGTGTCCTAAAATAAGACTATAGAGGACAATCTTACATTCATTAAATCAATTGCTGTTTGCTCTCTTCTCTTCCCTGCAGTTTTTAAGCAAAATTACGAACTGTGAAGCAAGGCATTGGGTGAGTAAATTAAGTTATATGCTTTAAAATTTTGTGGACAAACTGTTTATTTTTAATTTTGCCAATGTATGTGTTTCTACGAACTTTGCCACCTTTCATTAGAGGAGACAAAGGAAAGCCAATTCCCTCTCAATGGCTTCCCAGCCCCTGTACTAACTGGCTTAATGCTGTCGTATGGTCATTCCCTTCTCATTTCTCCATTCCAGCTAACTCCATCGCCTACTATGCCCCAACCCTGTGTTAGGGGTAGGTGCTCAAAGTGCAAAGCAAAACAACATGCATCTTAGAGATGAAGAGACAGCTCATGGCTGGGATAATAAAATGAAATGAAATACTGATGAAAATAGCTGCAATTTTTTGAGAACCTGCTGTGATTTAGGCACATATCTCTACATTTTAAAACCACTTAAGTATTACTGTTCCCATTTTGGAAAACCAAAGCCCAGAAACGGGAACAACCTATTCTAAATCACACAGCTAGTATAAGGCAAAGCTAGCCTGATAACTTTCCAAACATGGTTTCTCTCCATTGTAACATAATCACTGCCTCTCGATGCATAGCAGAGTATTTGGTACGTGGGGAAAACATTCAACAAATAGTCCTTTCCTTCCCCTTTTCCAAAAGAGCTTTCTATTCCAACTTCTGGATGAAGACTATTCTCCCTATTTTACAGGTATCAAGAGTGATGCCCAGAGATGGGCTATGAATTGTTCAAAGATAGAACACAAGAGACTTGAGTTGTGTTCTGTACCTTAGCAGGCTAACTTACCTGCTCTGGCACTCTTGGTAAGCAGGAAACAGCTTCTTGGGAATTAATAGGATTTTGGCATCTTTTGTTCAGGTGAAAACAAAATGGCCTCACCGGCTGATAGCTGTATTCAGTTCACCCGCCATGCCAGTGACGTTCTTCTCAACCTTAATCGCCTCCGTAGCCGTGACATCTTGACTGATGTTGTCATTGTGGTGAGCCGTGAGCAGTTTAGAGCCCATAAGACAGTCCTCATGGCCTGCAGGTGAGTGGTCTGGAAGGGAAGGGCAAATGCGGAAAAGGTAGCTGGGCGGGGAGCGGGTGATAGTGCTGGCAGAACTTGAAGACATTCTTTTTGCTCTGTGGGGAATGACATCTCTCTGGTCCCTAGATCTCAGCACATAGCCTGATTGGAGACTCCCAGGAAGTGAATGAATGAATGCACTTGTAGAAAAGAAAGAATTTCTGTTCTGTGGTCATAGTGTGGGAAGAAATCGTATACTGCTACAAGAAAGGCTGTGTTTGGGCAGTAGGGAGAATAACTGTATTTAACCAGGGAGAAAGTGAAAAGGGAGAGTCTTTAAGTAGATTAAGCAAATTAGTTTGAACTCTTTTGCTCTCTTATGCTATAACTGTGTTTATTTTATCCTGTAACTGCATTTCCGTGGGTGTTCAGAGTAGAGTAAGAGTGAGCCAGCTAATTCCTCATAATTGCCAGTATCTCAAGTTTTTAGAGCAATGTTATATTAAGTCTCTTCTTAGATCTTCCTAGTAGCCATCTGTGTTATGGATGGTACTGTTCCTCCATTTTATAGATGACAAAAGCAAAGTACAGGTAACTGATGTAGAATCAGGAATTTCTACTGCAATTAGAGAATTAGCTAACATTGATTATCAGCACTTTTTAAAAATAGTGTAGAGATCACAGCTCAAGTCCAGTCAGGCAAAATGTTAGCAAGATTCCATCTCAGCAAACAAGCTGGACATGGTGGTACATAGCTATAGATCCAGCTACATGGGAGGCTGGATGAGTATGAGGATTTTGGTTTGAGGTCAGCCCTGGGAAAATACATAAGACTCTGTCCAAAAAATAAAAAGGGTTGGGAATGTGGCTTAAGAGGAAGAACACCTGCCTAGCAAGCAGGAAACCCTGAGTTCAAATTCTAGTACTGCCCCAATATTTTTTTGAAGTTTAGAGACCAGAGGCTTATGGAGATACAAAAATAATAGCTAATGTTCAGTGAGAATTTACCATGTGGCCAGCATGGTTTTATACCCTTAACATCTTTATTCTTGCCACAAACCTAGAGCAGATGTTATTCCTACTTTGTAAGTAAGGAAACCAAAGAAGTTAAGCATCTTGGCCAAGGTTGCATAGTTACTTATTGCTGAAAATCTGCCTTACTTCTGACAACCTACTCAGAAAGAGTAGAATTGAGATGACAGCCTTGAATTCTAGTTTTGAATTGAGTACTTTTTTCTCTACTGGACAACATGGGACCTGGAGGTGAAATTTGACTTGAACCTTCTAGGAGTAGCTGGTCTTCTGATCATCTATGAACTGTGAGAAAAGTAGCAGACTATAATATATGGGCATATTTTTATTTTTCACACACACCTAACTCACTTCTTAAAAATATACAATAGATTTTTTAAATAAGGGTAATGTGATAGAACAAGAAGAGAAACATCCCAGAGATATAGACTAAGAATAGTTCCTGCAAATGAGTGCTAAATTTAACTCTGATAATCCATGCAGTTAAGTCTAAAAGAAAACAGACGCTGTGACTTTGAGAATACTACTTGATCTCTATCATCTGAGTTCCCCCATTTGTAAAGGTGAAACATGGTAGTACCCACCCACTTTGCAGGGTTCTGAGGAAGACAGGCTAATGTATTTAAAGTACTTAAAGACTCTCTGCATTTGGGAGGCTCTCCATGAGTACAAGCTGTTATTAATTGCCATGGAAGTTGTAGATCAAGGCCCTGGGAAGAGGAGCTGAGCATCATTGGTCCTATAAGCCATCGCAGATTCTCTATGTCTATGGCAGTGGGACATTTGTTTGTTTTACAGTGGCCTGTTCTACAGCATCTTCACAGACCAGTTGAAATGCAACCTTAGTGTGATCAATCTGGATCCTGAAATCAACCCCGAAGGGTTCTGCATCCTCCTGGACTTCATGTACACATCTCGGCTCAACCTGCGGGAAGGCAACATCATGGCCGTGATGGCCACAGCTCTGTACCTGCAGATGGAGCATGTTGTGGACACGTGCCGAAAGTTTATCAAGGCCAGGTGAGCTGCCACTTAGGTGGAAGCCTTGGAGACAGGAGGGGTGGTTCTGGATCAAAAATCCTTCATAATTCATGCATACAGGAAAAAATAGTCCTTTCGAGCTTCTACATTTCCACTATTATTGAACCCTTCTTTTTTTTTCCTCCCCAGTACTGGGGTTTGAACTTAGGACCTTGTGCTTGCTAGGCAAGCCCTCTACCACTTCAGTCAAACCCCTAGCCCTACTTCTATCCTTCTTAACTCTTGAACTCCAGGAAAACTTGACCCCTTACAGCTATCCAGATAGGTCCTATGCATTGCCACCTCCTGTTTTCTTCTTGGCCTTTCTTCCCACCCATCTTGCAAGGCCAAGCCTGGATACCAGCATCTCTGCAAGCTTTTCTGTTCCTCCTTTGGCTCTTCTTCTGTGTTCAGGAGCATCTTGCTTGTCCTCAGCCCTTCCTTCTCTTTTAAGTTTGCATATATATTTTAGTTCTCCCTAAGATCTGTTACAACTATTTACCTATGTCCCTTGGTACCCTACCAGGCTGTGAGCTGCTGTAGTTTGTAGGAGCTGCTTTTGCTCATATTTTGTATCGCCCTGCTCCTATTAGGGAAGACAGTTAGTAAACTGAATTGAGTTCACTGGGTCTAAACCCCTGCTCAAGGGTTGATAAACATGAAAAGTGAGGGATCCTGAGAACCAAAGAAGGGAAGCGCTTTGCTAAATGGAATGAGACTCTGGGCTTAACTTCTTCAGAACCATTTGGCCCAGCTGCTCTAGGATGATTGTATCCTCACTCAAAAGAAGGGTTTTCCAGCCTGAATTTGGTCACTTTCAGGAACTAGGAACTCAGTGTTCCCAGAGCCACACAGTCCACTCTGGACAGTTGGAAACTTGGCTTCTGCAGCATCTGCTCCCTGCTTCTTGTTCACTGTGGTCATGCTGAGCTGGCTTTTTTTTCCCCCCACGTAATGTCCCTTCAAGTATTTGTAGTCAGAGCTCTTTGTCTCCTGTGGGTGATAATGGTGGCAAAAATCATTATTGGTGTCATTTGCTAGTACTTTCCATAGGCCAGTCCTTGTGCTCCGAATGGTTAAATAACCTACCACAGGTCACATAGACACCAAGTGGCACAGCTGGTTTTGCAAATGAGGTCTGGCTGCTCCAGAGCCTGTGTTTCTTGCCCTGGCATTCACTGCCTACTGTCCATCATAAACTTCCCTGAGAATCTATTTAATTATGGGGCAGATCTTTTCTTTGATAGCAAACTAGTTTGTTTATGATCCTCTGGAAGAATAGTACCTGCATGGTATAATCCTTCTCTTCTTGTTTCTGTATATGTAAAATACCTGCTTTTCTTTCCTTGTAGGATTTGCGTGTGTGAAAAGAGATGAGGGCTTTGAAAGCTTTATGTAAGCTAGAAAGTTCTATAACATCAGAAGAGTTATAGATTGCCAGACACACATACACATGTGCCTTCAGTTTTCAAGCTCCTGTCTAATCAGTCACTAAGTGTGTAACTCATCTCCCTTCTCTGGGCCTCAGTTTCCTCGACTGTGGCCTAGATTGCTAGATTTCCAGTGTCAATGCTGTGTAATTGTGTTTCCCTACTCCACAGCCACATTCTGCTATGTCTAGCTGACTTAAGCACAGATGTGGTTACATAACAGTGTCACTGGAAGGTCATCTGCTGAACAGCTCTAATTTTGTGTCCTGTGGCTTTTCTCTTTTTTCTCCAACAGTGAAGCAGAGATGGTTCCTACCATGAAACCTCCTCGTGAAGAATTCCTGAACAGCCGGATGCTGATGCCCCAAGACATCATGGCCTACCGGAGCCGTGAGGTGGTGGAGAACAACCTGCCACTAAGAACCAACCCTGGCTGTGAGAGCAGAGCCTTTGCCCCCAGCCTGTACAGCGGCCTGTCTACACCGCCAGCCTCTTATCCCATGTACAGCCACCTTCCGGTCAGTAGCTTCCTCTTCTCTGATGAGGAGCTGCGAGATGCCCGGATGCCAGTGGCCAACCCCTTCCCCAAGGAGCGGACCCTCCCCTGTGATAATGGCAGGCCAGGCCCCAGTGAATACAGCCGTCCGACCATGGAGGTACCCCCCAGCATGTGCCACAGCAGCATCTACTCACCCAAGGAGGCAGTCCCAGAGGAGGCACGAAGTGACATGCACTACAGTGTGGCTGAGGGCCCCAAGCCTGCTGCCCCTACAGTCCGGAATGCCCCATACTTCCCCTGTGACAAGGCCAGCAAAGAAGAAGAGAGACCTTCTTCGGAAGATGAGATTGCCCTGCATTTCGAGCCTCCCAGTGCACCTTTGAACCGGAAGGGTCTGGTTAGTCCACAGAGCCCTCAGAAATCCGACTGCCAACCCAACTCACCCACGGAGTCCTGCAGCAGCAAGAATGCCTGCATCCTTCAGGCCTCTGGCTCCCCTCCAGCCAAGAGCCCCACTGACCCCAAAGCTTGCAACTGGAAGAAATACAAGTTCATCGTGCTCAACAGCCTCAACCAGAATGCCAAACCAGAGGGGCCTGAGCAGGCTGAGCTGGGCCGCCTTTCCCCGAGGGTCTACACTGCCCCATCTGCTTGCCAACCATCCATGGAGCCTGAGAACCTTGATCTCCAGTCCCCAACCAAACTCAGTGCCAGTGGGGAGGACTCTACCATCCCCCAAGCCAGCCGGCTCAATAATATTGTCAACAGGTGATTTCAGAGACCACTGGGTCTGAGGTCAGGGATTACCTGGGCACAGCTCATTTCTGCTGATGGATGCAGGAGCTGTGTTCTCTTTTTTGCCTGAAATGCTGAGCATCTTGGCAGGTAGCATTAGTGCCTGAGTGAATTAAGTAAGGAAGTATTTTATGCTTTAAGTGTGTTTTTCATAGCAAGAGAGATCATTCCCTTCTATGAGAAAAGGTAGTTCCACAGATTGAAAAGGCACTTCCTGTGGTCTTCATGTGACAGGGGACCCTCATACTTCCCTCAGACTGACAGAGTCTGTAGGTTGCAGTATTGAGGGAAAGCCACTGGGCCAGGGAGCAGAGTTTGGGCTTGATTTGGTCCTGGCTTGTGCTGTCTTGCAGATGGTGTTTGGAAGCAAGCTGGAGGGTGACCCTGAGCCCCAGAGCCAGAGTGGGGTCACTGTAGTCTCTGGGATAGTCTGAGCACAGGGAGGAGTGGCATGGAGGCCATATAGACTGTTCTTCCCTGCGGCTCCTGCTGCAGCTACTGAGGCTCTGTGTTTATGTCCACAGGTCCCTGACAGGCTCACCCCGCAGCAGCAGTGAGAGTCACTCGCCACTCTACATGCACGCCCCCAAGTGCACATCCTGTGGCTCTCAGTCCCCACAGCATGCAGAGATGTGCCTCCATACTACTGGCCCTACATTCCCCGAGGAGATGGGAGAGACCCAGTCTGAGTACTCCGATTCCAGCTGTGGTGAGTCTCTTCCCCTTTGCCAAGGAAAAGGAAGACCCTTTACTCCATCAGTTTTGTGTTTTCATTTTATTTGTACTGTTGTCCATTTGGGAGACTTTCCCAATTAAAAATCCATTAGTACTTAAAATCACCAACAGATCACCCTACTCTCTGCCTCTCAGTGAACTGGGCTGACCAAAATAAGGGGTAGAGTATTGGAGTTAACCTGGGATATTGAGACTGACTAAGCAGTCTTCAGCTTTGTTCTAGCAAAGGTAGTTTGCAGGACTGGCTGGAACTCCCTGAGGTTTCTCAGTCTCTTTGAGCTGGAACTGCATTGGCCTTTGTGCATGTTAGTATTCCCTGCTAGATGTCAGATTCTCTGTGGAGAAATACCTGGCCTTATGCATTTCCCTATCCTCCACAGGTCCTAGTAGGTCCCTAGCATGGAGGAGGTACTCAGAAAATGCTAGCAGAATTAAGTTAGTTGGACTGAATTATTAACATTTCTGGATAGCCAGTGATTGGCATCCCAGTTTTTATTAGATAAAAGCAGTGCTGGCTGTTCTATTATGACCCAGTCAATACCTAATCAGGGTTAAATCACCAAGACATGTCATTTTCAAATTCTTATAATAAAAATTAAAAAACCAGTTGTTTATAGTGAGAGGTTTGGCACAGGATCATAGATCTTTACTCAAAGGGAGAGCGGGGACTGTCCCTTCCTGGTAGCCTTGCTCTGCTCTCCAGTTTCTCCTCTCTGGGCCTCTGTTTTTCCACTTCTGCCATCATCTTTGGTTCCCCATCTCACAGAAGGGTTTAGGAGGCATAAAATTCAGACAGGTGCAAGGATGAGTATGGAATCTTCATCATGAATCCCTCCTTCAATGACTTCAAAGTAGAATGGAATTTGACTTGGATCTCATGTCCCTACAGTGCTTTGATTTATTTTGTGTAGTAGGCAGGACAGAGATTGTTATCCTGACTTTGGAGATGGAGACACAGAGAGAGGCTCGGAGGGGTGAAGGGTCTTACTCCAGGGCTACTGTGTGTGAATGTAAATCAAACAGTGAACTAATAAGAAAGGGAGTTCTTGGAGCTCCTGGGGAGAATGTAGAACTCTGTCCCTCTTTCCTCAAACGGGTGCAGGACATGGGAGCCTGTTCGTTTGAACTTGCCTTGCATACCCAATATTCAGTCTGTCTTTAATCTTTCTCCTCCATGACTGAGATTCTAAATGATAAAAAAAGTGAAACCCCACAGGTCCCTTTCTCTGGGGCTTCCATGAGTGTTGGTGGGGGACTCTGGGGGCCCAGTTTGGGTAACTCCAGAAGAGGGAGGCCTTAGAGCCCTATCTCCCTCATGCTGACGTGGTGTCCATCCACCCTCCAACAGAGAACGGGGCCTTCTTCTGCAATGAATGTGACTGCCGCTTCTCTGAGGAGGCCTCGCTCAAGAGGCATACGCTGCAGACCCACAGTGACAAACCCTACAAGTGTGACCGCTGCCAGGCCTCCTTCCGCTACAAGGGCAACCTCGCCAGCCACAAGACCGTCCATACGGGTATGGCCCTGCCCCACCCCACCTGAGAATCCCAGGATTCTCAGGGGCAGGACACGGAGAGAATTCTAGGGAAAACACTATGGGGCCTTGGACCTGGTGGAATGAGGCAAGAAGTAGGCCCTGTACTGCCCTGAATGAGGGGCTTAAACCTGTATTGTCCTCACTGAAGAGCTTGTCCACTCCCTGTATTCTTTGTCTTTCCTCTGAGACTCTCTGTCCTGCTTCTCTGCCTTTGCTGAGGTTAGAAGTGTCAGTCCCGCTGTACAGATGAAGAAGCTAAGGCTTCTTCAAAGTGGCAAAGTGGATTTTTGTAAAGTCAGGAAAAAACTAAAGGCCTCTTGATGTCCTCCAAGGATTTGTTCCTTATCGATCAACTGGCATTCCATCATACAACTTGATTGCTGTGGAAGTTTACTGCCTCCTAAACCTAGTGGCCCCATTATCCCAGAAACTTTCCATGGTGAAAGGTTTAGCTCTTTGATTGATTTCCTCTGCCTGACCCACACCCTGCCCCTTTTGCAAGTGGAATACAGCAGTATTTGCCACAAGTGGAAAAGTATGATTGCTCTGAAGAGAAACCAGAGCAGCCTGGTTGTATCTCCCAGGTGAGGGTGTGGCCTATTGCACCAGCCTCATCCATGGGAAGAGCCAGAAGTTCTTCCCAGGTCATCTAAACTAGCCCCACCCATTCATAGAGGGAAACTGAGGCCCAGAGAAGGACAGTATCTTGCCAAATCCTGCGGGTAGATGATCCCAGCCTTCCAGGAACTTCCACTCCTGACCCACAGCTAACGTTGTTTCTGCCCTGCCATGCCACTCCTCATTTCTCAGCCTTGTCCCCTGCAAGGTAGGCTGATGTCTGAGTGAGAGAGGGGGCAAGGAATCCAGGGAACAGACCTCTGGAGAAGGGAAGGCACAAGAGGCCTCGGAGAGGGGCAGTTTACCTTGACATCCATGGGCCAGGGCCAAAGGAGACCTTCTCTGTTGAATATGGCTTTCCCTTTTCCCTTTCTCTGGGTAACAGGTGAGAAACCCTATCGTTGCAACATCTGCGGGGCCCAGTTCAACCGGCCAGCCAACCTGAAAACCCATACTCGAATTCACTCTGGAGAGAAGCCCTACAAATGCGAAACCTGTGGAGCCAGATTCGTACAGGTAAGCAGGCAGCCTGGTGAGCAGATCCCTGGGCAGGTTGAGGACCTGCCAGAAGGTCTTAAGCCCACCCTGGCAGAGCCTCTCATGCTGGACTCTTCCTTCAGGTGGCCCACCTCCGTGCCCATGTGCTCATCCACACTGGAGAGAAGCCCTATCCCTGTGAAATCTGTGGCACCCGCTTCCGGCACCTTCAGACTCTGAAAAGTCACCTGCGTATCCACACAGGAGAGAAACCTTACCATGTATGTAAGCCCCTGTGACCTCTGGCTGACCTGGGAAGAGGGGATGGAGGGTGAGGCAGTGAACTGTCTGCTCCAATCAGAAGCATACAGTGTGGTGGTGACTGTTGAGCTGATGGTTGTGAGACCCAGATCTGGGCCTGGTTGTTAAAGAGATCCTACTTGACAATCCTAGGTCTCAGTGTGTCCATCTTTGAAATGGAGGCATTGGACTAGTTACCCCAAGCCTTAGGAAAAAGGCCCAGACTATGAAGATAGAGATTTTGGGGTCATTCATTCATTCCATAGATACTTACTGGGTGCCTACAGTCTTATTTTAAAATAGTTTTAGATTTATAGAAAGGTTGCAGATATTATATACCCAGTTTCCCATGTGTCCCCAGTTTCCTCTTTTGTTAACATCTTATTTGTTTGGATACATTTATTACAATTAATGAACCAATACTGATACATAATTATAAACTGAAGTCCACACTCTGATCCTGTGCTGGATGTATAACAGTAGCTAAGGTGTTTGAAAGGACCAGTCTTGGAGTAGGAAGAGAACCAGAAAAATGTGATGTTATAAGAAAAAAACAAAAACAAAAAGCAGAGAAAGACCATTTCAAGAAAGAGCAAGTGACCAGTGTATAGAATAGTGCTATGAACAGGCCATTAGAATTATGTCCTAAAGCAAGGTCTCGATGGCTTGCACGTTAAATTTGGAACATTGCATGAGCTAAAAATGCTTTTTTTTTTTAATACAAAAAAGAAAAGAATAAAACTGGGCATGGTGGTGCATGCTTGTCATCCCAGCTATGACAAGAAGCATAAAATAGGCAGATTGCAGTTCAGACCAGCCTGGGCAAAAAACAAGACCCTGTTTCCAGAATAACCACAGCAAAAAGGGTTGGAGGTGTGGCTCAAGTGGTAGATGCCTGCTTAGCAACAGAGTTTAAAACGCAGTACCACCAAAAGAAATAAATAGATAGATAAATAAATAATATTTTGTGACATTGCAAGTTAAATGAAGTTTAAATTTCAGTGAACATAGATGGAGTATAATTGGAACACAGCCACACAACTTTGTTTACCTCTTGTCTGTGGTTGCTTTGAGGAGTATGTGGCATTACTCTGGGTGGCTGTGGGCACGGAAACTAATCAATGAATGGTTCACCCCCGTCCCAGATGTTAACCTGAAAATGTGTCTGTTGGGGTTCACTTGTTCATAAGGGTTTGGGTGATGATCTCCTTACTTGCTGTTTGTTCTTGGGGAAAAGTAGTTGCCCTCTGAGTGGCTTAATTTCCTCATGTGTAAAATGAGCCTGAAAATAGTACCTACCCCACGGTGTGGTTATATTAAATTAACTAATTCAATCAAATGTTCAGGTTAGCTTGTGCATTAGTAAGAGTACAATAAACACCCGCTGTGTTGTATACATGCAGAGGACTTCAGAGTTGAGAGTGGCCCTTACGGAAGGAAGAGCAAAGCCTAGAGGGAAGAATGACATGCTCAGGACAACAGAAGTGGAGGCATAGGTATAATGGACCCATGTCTTCCAAGGCCAGGGCTCTTTACTCACTGCTTTGACTTTTTTTCCCAAAAAAAAAAAAAAAAAAAAAAGAAATATTTACTTATTCATTTATTTATCTGTTTTCTAAATCTATTTCCATTTTTACCCTAAAACATGCTCTCCACCTGAACATATTTTATAGTACAGTCTAGGAAAGCAGTCTAGTACTTGAGCCCTTTGTACTTTCAGTTATTATTTTTAAGACAGGGTCTTACTTTTTGCTCTGGCCTGAGACCACAATACCTTCCGTGTAGCTGGGGTTATAGCTATGCTCCACCATTCCCTGCTTGTTTGTTCATATGTGGTCTTGCCCAGGCTGACCTCACACTGTGCTCCTCTGGATCTCCACCTCCTAAACAGCTGGGATTACAGCATAAGCTAGTGTGCCCAGTCCTATAACACTCTTATTTTAGAATAGTTTTAGATGTACTGAAAGGCTGCAAATATTATATACCAGCTTCCCATGTGTACCCAGTTTTCTCTTTTGTTAACATTTATCACAGTTAATGAACCAATATTGATACATAATTATAAACTGAAGTCCATACTATGCTGGGATTTGCTTAATTGTTACCTAACAATGCTCCTTTTCTGTTCCGGGATCTGGTCTAGGTTAACCCCATTACATGTAGTCATTCATTTTACTTTTTAGTAACTTTTTCCACAAAAACTATCATCAACTATTCCTTGGATCAAAGTGAGAAACAGCTTTACTTGCTAATGCTTTGCTAGGTTATCTCAGTGAACGCCCTATGAAAGAATGTAACTGCATATTGAAAAACATCTGAGACTCCAGAATGTCCTCGAATTCAGATGGGTCCAATCCATTTGTCCAGACACATTTGAGTCATTGCACAATTTGCCTGAGAGGCGTGTTCTGCTAGGTACTAGGACAAAGATGAAGTTTTGTGATATTATCCCCTTGATACCTAGGGATGGCTGTGTGGCAAGGTTCTGAATGTGAGATCCAAAGGCGAGAGGGATTATTTTTATCTCAGAGAGATTCAGAAATGCCTTAATAACTAGGCAGGTTTGCACCTGGGCTTATCTTTTGGATAAGACTTGCCTGGTGCGATTAAGTCAGAGAAGGATGTCTCAAGCCAGTGGAAGGCATGAGTGACACTTTGGAAGGCAAGGCGGGGCCCTTTGCACAATGTTTGCTAATCCCTAGCGGAAGCCCAGATTTAAACGGCTTCTTAAGCTGGCTGCCTTAAGTCCTACTCAGGGAGAAATCTCCTTCTCCGGTTCTCTAAGTCACGACTCGTTTCCTGGGTTGATGACAGCTAACCGCGTGCTTCTGGTGTCTCTCTAGTGCGAGAAGTGTAACCTGCACTTTCGTCACAAAAGCCAGCTGCGACTTCACTTGCGCCAGAAGCATGGCGCCATCACCAACACCAAGGTGCAGTACCGCGTGTCCGCCACCGACCTGCCTCCGGAGCTCCCCAAAGCCTGCTGAAGCATGGAGTGTCGATGCTTTTCCTCTCCAGCCCCTTCTCAGAATCTACCCAAAGGATACTGTAACACTTCCCCTCATCCCATGACGTAGTGCCTCTCTCATCCACTAGTGCAAACCATCGCGGGGGCGGGCGGGCGGGCGGGGCGGGGACCGGGTGCGCCTCCCTTCCCTCACTGCCGTAAAACATTAAGAAAATAATATCGCTTCTTCTCCTATGTGTAAGGCGATCCATGTCAGCAAAAAGCAAAATCATTTTCTATATCAAAGTGGGAGAGTAAGGATGCAAAAGTTCTGACTTGACTTAGCCTGCGAAATGAGGAATGTATATGTTTTGTGGGAACAGATGTTTCTTTTGTATGTAAATGTGCATTCTTTTAAAAGACAAGACTTCGGTATGTTATCAAAGAGAGGGCTTTAATTTTTTAACCAAAGGTGAAGGAATATATGGCAGAGTTGTAAATATATAAATATATATATATATATAATATAAATATATAAACCTAAAAAAGATATATTAAAAATATAAAACTGCGTTAAAGGCTCGATTTTGTATCTGCAGGCAGACACGGATCTGAGAATCTTTATTGAGAAAGAGCACTTAAGAGAATATTTTAAGTATTGCATCTGTATAAGTAAGAAAATATTTTGTCTAAAATGCCTCAGTGTATTTGTATTTTTTTGCAAGTGAAGGTTTACAATTTACAAAGTGTGTATTAAAAAAAAGCAAAAAACAAAAAAAAAAGCTGCAGAAGTTTTGTTCTACTTTTCAGTTTGTATATACCTGTACAACGTCCTCACGGTGCCTTTTTTCACAGAAGTTTTCAATGATGGATGAGCGTGTGCCATCCCTTTTTGAAGTGTAGGCAGACACAAGGACTTGAAGTTGTCACTAACTAAACTCTCTTTGGGAATGTTTGTCTCATCCCATTCTGCGTCATGCTTGTGTTATAACTACTCCGGAGACAGGGTTTGGCTGTGTCTAAACTGCATACCGCGTTGTAAAATATAGCTGTATAAATATAAGAATAAAATGTTGAAAAGCCAAATGAGCTCGTTCTGAAACTCACTCCTTGTGTGGGAATGGGGACATGGATGGGTCCCGCTTGCTCAGTTTGTCCTCCAGTGGGAAGTGCTCTTGAAGGGGAGGGAGTACTGGCCAGTTTGGGCTTGTGGTCATTTGAAATGAAGCTGGAACTTTTCCCTGGTGGATTGGAATAGACTAACCTTGGCTCCCAGCACCAGGATGGACTGCAGGCCCCAGACTCTGGTTATGAAGGACAAGAAGGTGTAGAGGTTGCACTGACTCTCAATCAGCTCCAGGTTGAACTTTCAATAACTTCAGTTCTCACTCTTCGGACACAAACATACCCAACTCTTCCTCCTCTGAGCCTCAGTTTTCCCATTCTGTAAAGTGAGAAAGCTCATCTTGCCTTCTGGCTTTATATGCATGTCTCTGCACTTGGTTATATGGGGCAGGTCAAGGGCTTTTCTTGGCTTCAGTGCATTTGAAGTCTTTGGTGTCTTCTGGGGACTGGCAGATATCTGTGGATGCAGAAGATTTATCAATGGCTAGAGACCAAGTCAATCTTTACCCCTACAGAGATGCTCTTTGACCAGAGTTCTGTGCTGTACTCAGTCACCTCCTCCTGTGGTCTTGAGACCACCGTTTTCCTTCTGGGTCCCCTTCCCAACTTGTCTAGCAAGGGATTGGGTTAACTAGATAATTTATGATTTCATGATTCAGGAGTAAGTTACCCCAGCTGCTTTTGGCACCCACTTTTATTTCACCTCAAAAAATCCCAAGGATCAAGTTTGATTGACAAGACCTGAGAACAGAGAGGGCAAATGAGGTTCTGGTAATTGGCCCAGAGGAAAAAGTCTGCACCCCCTTTCCTGCTCCTGGGTGGCAATGGGGAAGGGACACAGGCCCACTGGTTAGACAGTGGTGTCCCTTGGCAGTGGCTTTGCAGCAGGCTCTGAGCACGTGCTGGGAAGCTTAGGGGAGCTGACCACCCAAAGCCCCAGAGAGAGCTTCAGAAAGTCACACCACCCTCTGCCAACCGCATGGCCTTTCAGCTCAGGTTTCCTTTGAAAATGACTTTAAAGGACTTGCCAGCTTGAGGCCTCAACTCACCCTGCTCTTTGAAAAGAGAGAAAATGATCCCTCTGCTCCCATAGAAACTTGGCAGAAGAACTTACAAAACAGACAGCTTCGGGAATGACAATTCATAAGCCTAAGGGAGGCTGGCTCCAGGTCCCTCTGCTCCCAGAGCGTCTCCAAGTCTGTTTACGTATCATTACTGTTTAGTAGAGAGACAGCGCCGCCAGAGAAGACACTGTGGGTGGTGTTCCAACAGAAGGGGAGGTCAAAGAGTGAGTGACAGCAGCCAATTGATGATCGATAATAAGTAAAAGGAAAACATTTCTAAACAGATAAGCCAGGGCAAAGGGATCATAGAATTTTGTTACAAAAGCATGGCACGAATGCAGATTTTTACCAAAACATGTCACATAAAGCAGGGTATGTGTGATGTTCTGTACATTCTCCTCTAAAAGAGGAAAGGCATTTGAGAAGGTATGCATTAGAGTAGGTGTATTAACTTTCTTACCACTGTGATGTCCCTGTTACAGAATGCCTGACATAACAGGTTTAGGGAGGAAAGACACATTTTAGCTCACAGTTTCAGTGCATAGTCCTTGGCTCCACTGATTCTGGGTCTGTGGTGAGGCAGAACATCATGGCAGCAGGATCATGTAGCAGGGGTACTCACTTTATGGTGGGCAGGAAGCAGAGAGAGAGAGAGAGAGATGGGGGGCTCAGGTACAGCCTTCAAGAACACGACTCCAGTGACCTACTTCTTTCAGTTAGTCCCCCTCCTAAAATTTGAGAGTTTCCAAAAATAGCATCACCAGCTGATGACCAACTTTTCAATACAAGACCCTTTTGCGGGGGAGGGGGGGACTTTATATCCAAACCATAACAGTAGGCCTACAGAGGTGGATGGGTAGACGTAAGCAGAGCTGTTTAGAAGTTGGAAGGGATGGGGTGAGAAGTACGCTCTAGTTCCAATGACTCCTCTGACCCATGAGGGGACCAAGGCACTAGAGGAAAGGTGAAGAGACCTGTCTGCTGCCACCCAGTGACTGGGCAAGCATGGAGAAAAGGCTCTGTTCCTTATCCCAACACTAAGAAAGAAGAGATGTTAGTGTTTTATTTTAGAAATGAGGGAATGGAGGCAGGGCTTTGTCCAAGGTTATGCAGTGCAACAAGTGTCCAGGTGTCTGAGTTCACACGAGTAATTGGTTTTTGGAACGTTAACCAGTTTAGTTCAATTATCGAGTCTTAAGCTTCTTGGGAGAAATGGCTTATTTTCTCTGAAACCTGAGTTTCCATTTCTCTGTATCACTCATAGTAGTAATTAATAGCAAATTGTCTCATACCCTACCGGGGGCACACTTTGAAAAACACTATGAGACTTGGAATGTAGAAGAGAAGCAGAGAGCCCTTGGATAGTAGCTGAGTCACATTAATGGCAGAGTACTAGAGTGAGGTCCCCAGAACTGGGATGACTTTTCTGGACCAGATTCCATGAAGCTTGCCATTGTTTGGGGGTTTCTGGTCTTAAGTTTCTAGGAGAGTTCACCTCTTTTATAGCTTGTTATAATACAGTCCCTGCATTTATTCCTCTCACCCCCCTACTTGGACTGTCTGAGAGGGTCCTTATGTCCTAGAACCAAAAAAAGTGTAATTCATGTAGGTACCCAGGCTTGTGGGATGTTTGCCATTAGGAGGAACCTTAAATATTCTTTAACTAGGTCTAAAACTCTTAATAGTAGATGCTTAAGTATGCTAGCATCTCTCCCAGATAAGACAAAAATTGGTTTACACAAAATACTGTGACCCCTTGGAAAGACAATGTTCCTTCAGTTCCTCCTTTAGAAGACCGGAATCTTCTAAGAAAGGATACATGAGCCCAACCAGCCATGGCTATGGTTCCCTCCATACCCAGGGTAGCATCCAGGGACAGCCAGGCACCATCATCAAAAAGAAGAGAAAGCTTCAGCAATCCACAAGAGAGTGGGCTTCTAAAAAGGAAGATGCCAAGCCAGGCAGGAGGGTCTTGGAGTCTAGGAAGGGGACCTAGTGGGACCATATTCTCCTACAAGCCTTGGGGTGTCTGCTTCTCATTAAATGACTCATTTAACCCCAGATAGTTACTATGCACAGCTAAGAGATAAGTCATGCTCCCCCCTTCCATTTTGCACCTCAAGCAGGCAGGTTGGTTGAATAGCAAGCATGCATTGAGTCAGAATTAGAGAATATTGTAAGTCAGGGAGTGTAGGGATTGCATTCCTTTCCTATAGACAAGGAACCAGGCCTAGAACAGAAAGGCAACATATCCAGTGCCACAACAAGCATCTTTATCAGAGATATCATCTAACTGCTAGTTAGGGCTGTAACATAGTCCTGGCCCTCAAAGTGTTTGCAGTCAAGTTGAAAAAACACTATTTGGACAATATGGAAGGAAAATTCCAAGGAAACACCAAAATATACAAAATTATGGTCCATAAATGATGATTCTAAAAATTCAGGGACTGTGAGCAGGGGTATGCTCAGAATGGCCAAAGATTCTCTCAGTAGATGATGGGCAGCCTTGCTGAGCTGGTGGTCCGAGGAGAGGCATTCTCAGACTTTCACGGGTCTCTCACTGTTTCTATGGGACCGCAGTGCCTCCTTCTGTCTGGACCAAGCTGTCCTAATTGTCACCAACAGAAGCCAGCTCTGGAGGTGTGTTGTTTACTAGGGCTGCCATAACAAAATACCACAAACTGAGTGGTTTCAACAACAGAATTTTATTGTCTCACAGTTTTGGAGGCTGGATATCTAAGATCATTGTGTTACAGAGTTGGTTTTTTCAGAGGCTATCTGGAAGAATCTGCTCCAGGCTTCTACCCTAGCTTCTGGTGGCTTCCTGGCAATCTTTGGCCCGCCTTGGTTTGTGAAGCATCATCTCTGTCTCTTCATCTTCACACGATCCTCTTTCTGTCTCTCTGACTCTGTCTCTCTCTCCTTCTCTCTCTCACACACACACACTTGGTGCCTGCATTCAAAATAGTCCTTCTCTCTTTTTTATAAGGACATCAACTACAAGTTCCTGGAAGGCAAAGGAAACAACACAGTGAAGAGACAGCCTACAGAATGAGAGAAAATATTTGCAATCTGTGTATGTGACACAGGGTTAATATCTAGAACATGAAGAAACTCAAACAACACAGCAGAAAAAAAAAGTAAAGATCTGATTTAAAATGGGAAAAACCCGACAAACATTTCTCCAAAAAAGATGTTTAAATGACTGTAAGATATATGAAAAATGTTCAGTCAACAAGGAAGTGCTAATCCAAACCACCATGATATTATCAAAAAGACAAAAACACAACATACTAGCATGGATGTGGAGAAAGGGAGCTCTCGTACACTGTTGGGAATACAAAGTAGTGTAGCCATTGTGGGAAACAGAATGGACATTTCTCAAAAAATTATAAATAAAATTGCCAATCTCACTGCTGGGTATGTATCTGAAGAAAATGAAACCAGTATTTCGAAGAGACATCCATACTCCCATGTTCATTGCAGCATTGTTCACAATAGCCAACAAATGAAAACAATCTAAGTGTCCATCAACTGATGCATAAAGAAAATGTGAGCCATATACATTTCTTATTTGGCCATAAGAAAGTGGACTGTATCATTTGTGGGAACAAAGAAGAACCTGGAGATCATTACATTAAGTGAAATAAGTCAGGCACAGACAGACCAATACTCATGATGTCATTCATATGTGGAATCTAAAGAAGTTGATTGATCTCACAGAAGTAAAGAATAAGATATTGTTACCAGAGGCAGGGTGAATGGGGGAGGAAGGGAAATGGAGAGAGATTGGCCAATAGGAGCACAGTTACAGTCAGACAGGAGAAATAAATTCTAGTGTTCTTGTGCACGCTCTTGTGACTATGGTTAACAATTCTGTATTGACTGTTTAAAAAATAGTTAAAGAATCTTGAAGGTTTTCACCACAAAAAAAGGTAAATGAGGTAAAGGATATGCTAGATAGCCTGATTTATAATTACAAATGTATACTTGCATTAAAACATCCCACTATATCCTGTATAGATTTACAATTCTGATGCCAATTAAAAATAAGACAAAAATAAAAAATGCTGAAATTAAAAAAAGAAGAGCATATGAGTCACACTGGGTTAAAGCCCACCCTGCAAACCTTGCCTTAACTGCAACGATCCTATTTCCAAACAATGTCGCATTCTGAGGTACTAGGGGTTAAGACTTCAAAATGAGTTTTGGAGGGGACACAATTCAACTGATAGCAAGGGCTGCTTATGGGGGAGGGATGATGAAAGCCTCTCAGAAATGTGCCATTGCCTCTTTTTGCTGTGTTCTCCCACCTGCTGGAGGCCCAGTAACCTGAGTTTTGGGATACCTTCTCATTGCTGGCTCTGGACCCATGGCCTTGGGTAACCCACAGAGGCTCACCAGAGTGAGTTGGCCTTACCTCTAACCCAGAATGAGATATTGGGGCCATCACACTTCACCAAGGTAAGGATGGGTTTCTCTTCTTCCCCCTCTGCCTTAGTTGTCACTGGTGGGTCTCACCCCCAAAGAGCACTAGAGGACAAAACAGTTGTTCACCAAGTAGCCACAGTTTAGATATACAGATGGGAGAAGAATCTAGATCCAAGTGGGTCTCTCTAAAATAGGAATCACCAGGAAACTTATATACCAGATCCTTCAAGCCTGATAAAATCTGTTGGCACAAACACTGGCAACTGTTACAATTCATTGTATTTAGAAATACAATGAAAGCTGAGCACATTATAGAAATATAATGGAAGGTTCACACCTGTAATCTCAGCTACTCAAGGGGTGGAGATCAGGAGGATTATGGTTTGAGGTCAGCCTGGGTAAAAAGTTAGCAAGACCCCCCCATCTCAACAAATAAGGTGAGCTTGGTGTTACACAGCTGTTATTCCAGTAACACAGGAGATGTATGTAGG